GGTTTCTATTAGTTTCTGCGCTATTCTTACAATGGCCACATCCCCGCAATGGCACAGCAACTAAAGGGCGTCCTAAATGCATTGAAACTCTTCTCTCGCCAAGGGCCAAGGAACGCTAGAAAAACTGATTTAGCTTCTGTACCTTGCTTCTTTAGTCTCGGTTAGGATGCTTTACAAAAGCATCAGTATTGCTTAGGGTTAGGGTGGTGAATGTGATGATATTCCACCATAAGCACTTTTGAAGAATTAGAAGTTGAACTGAGCCCGGTGGACATGGAGAGAAATATGTGACTCCCAATTTGAGGCGAGGGCGAATTTACTGTATACTACTCAAAAGAATTGTTGATGTTAACTTGTGAAATCCTTTTCCCTTTTAAATGCTATTTATTAATGATCTCACACTTTTATGTATAACTGAAAATGCACGATAACCCTAAACGACTTAATTCACCATGTAACTCTATATCAAAGTACCTTAAATTCAAGTTTGCATTTAAATCTTCGCCAAGCCCGCTGAATTATGGAGGCGCTTTCATTCTGCAGATACAAAGAGCATCATGATATCAACAAATGATAACAGCATCTAAAAGAATTAACTTTTTTTCAAGAACGTATTAGAGTTCTAAATTCTTTAGATCTTCCATGCTAAGGCCTCTACCTTACGACTGTTAACATGTAACTCCATATCAAAGTACTTTAAATTCAATTTCTTCTCTTTTGGGCATTAGCTTAATTCAGCGGACGTGGTGCAGATTTAAATCAAAACTGAGTTTGGATATAAATCTACGCCACGCCCGCTGAATTATGAACGAGCTTTCATTCTGCAAAGACAAAAAGCATTATGATATCAACAATTGATATCACCATCTTAAAGACTTTATTTTGGAGAACATAATTAAGGTCTAAATTCTGTAGAACCTCTATGCTAAGGCCTCTACCCTACGGAGGTTAGCCGCTTTAAATGGCAACCTCCCTTAAAAAGGCTACCCCCTTACAACGGCCACTTTCTTACTGTGTCTACCGCTCTACAACTACGACCTCCTCCACAATCACCCACGTTTACACAACATTATAAAGAAATCTGAATACCTGTCTTTGCAGCTCTCTATCTTTTTGGCGGGCGTCGTTTTCAATACTAAAAAAATGTCACAATGTTACAATGGCGATCACCAATAATACTTTCTTGTAACTCAAGTTTGGCAAAAATACATCCTTGTTCTTTCTTGAGTGCACTAGCCGTTCAATACCTTAATCTTGGCTAAGCACTTTTTTTTAACTTAAACTTTTGAAAATTAGATTTAACGTCTGGTACCAAGGGAAACAATTTAACAGTTTGATAAAGCAAGCCGCACAATCGGTACGTAAAACTTTTCCGTTCTTTTCCTAACAACCTGAAACTTTTATCGAAATTGGACTAAATGTTTAAGACTTACCTTTCTTCGCATTTCTTCTCTGTAGATGGCCATAAATATTCAGCAATACTCGCAAAGGTAAACAAACTAATCCAGTGGGTAACAAAAACCATCTTGGCATCTAGTTTGTTTTTGCGACACTGATTTGTAATTGGGTTGCGTCATAATAGCACCTTTCATCTTTTAAGCGCGCGCTAGAAACAGAAATGACTAAACGAACGCGTGAATGTTTGTCTGCTGAGCTCAAAAACATGGACTATTCCAGTGGGTCTCNACACATTATTAATCAGATCGATCCAAAATATATTTTATTTAGTTGCAGTTGAATATCTGGAAAAAAGGGAGAAAAACTTTGGATTAGTGAATAAAAGCTTCTATGAGTTACCACTAGCTAAAGCTACGGTTAGATTTAACTCAGGATCAATGCAGTTTTTGTTAAGAACATAAGCATTCTTTCATTCTTATTTCACCCATCCATCAGTCGCTCGGGTCAATTCCTGTTATAAATTCTCATTCTCAGTCCTAAAAGAAAGTGGTATGGATAATATACGTATTGATGTCGGGGGGGGAGGGTAAAACAGCTGAACTATCGTACGGTGAATAGGTCAGTTTATATACGGTAACACTCGTGGAGTCAGGTTGAGTCAATGAACACAAATTAAGCAGAAAAACAGTTACTATAGCTAACTATCCATTCCAGCTTTGAAATTGTTTTTATTCAGTATTTAAGGCGTGAATTGTACACTTACCGCCAGGAAGACATTTTCTTCGTCTGACAAGAAAGAAAAATCCAGACATAGGGTTAATCTAAAGAAAAGAAGAGAAGACGCGGATACAATATTGAGAAGAGCTGATGGAGACGATGTACTGCAAAAACATTTGCAACGACATCAAGGTTCTCGTTTTTAGTTTAGCGACTGAATCTTTCTCGACAGAAGCGTATATCGATCAATTTTCGAGATTATCCTTCGTCCGAAGACGATATACAAGTGATTACGCATAAAGATTTTGATTGTGGAGGGTTTTTCATCGGTAACAGTGCAATTTCTGTAGGTGAGAAAATAAAAACAAAGATACCCTAAACAGGAAAAAAACAAACACTCTTAAGGTTATAATAAAAGGAGAAAACATGAGAAATCACGTCTACATTTTAAGGATGCACCATCTTCCAAAAAGCCTCTTACAGCTCAAAAGACTCAATCATAGATCTACTGGACACTGACGTCACCATACCTCATTCTCTGCTGTCGCATTTGGCGCCGATGAACCACATGTGATTGCTAAGGGTTCTTTTCCGCTGAAGAACGGATGCAAATGGTAATTGTAAACACCAAGCCTAACAGCTGGGCATTTTCGGAGAAGCTGCTTGTACAGAAATAAAAGATTTCTTTCGTTAAAGTTGAGATACTACGAGAACTGCACTATTTAATAGTTAAATATCCATCTATGGAAGTTTCCAAAAATACTTATTCAAAAACACTTTGCTGATAAGGGTTTCTGTTAGTTTCTGCGCTAAGCACATTGGGTCCTTTTACTTTATCGTGAATAATTTTGATCCGTAATCTTTCATGAACACATCTTTACTGTGAATGTGAAAAAAAGGTTCAATTAATGTTTCAGGTTCTCTTTTGTCTAGGAATAAATGGATTTACTTTAATCACATAACTTTGGGTTTCGTTTACTGACCTTTAAAAGACAATCTCTGGCCTCAGTTCCCAGCCAATCGGGGATGTCAGGGGTCGTATACACGATGTTTTCAAACATATTTCTCTCTTGGTCATCATAAAATGGTAGCTGATAACTAGATACGTGGGAAAATAAACAGAAAAAAGAAAATATTTCATTTATCATTCCAAACATACTGCTCATTTCACAATCAATCGTACTCTGAAAATTAGGCTTTGTGCGTATCTGTCTCCCATTTTTAGGTGAAAGCCACATAAGTCTAGGGGAGGCAGAGGGGAGGGGAGAGGCGTACTTTATAGGTCTTTTTCCTCCTCAGTTATCCCCAGACCCTTTCCTTTTTAGTCGCCATATTATGCGAAATATAATCCTCTGTCACATACAGCTTTTACTCATTTCACAAACGAAGAAAAGACTGAAACGTTTCTATAACCCATTCAAATAGGCTGATGATTTATACGTAATTGTCGAACATCATATTTCCTTCCAAATTCCTCGTTGAATGATTTCCAACCCCTTTCACTGTGCATTTGATGTACTCCGTTGCATAACCTTTTTAAAAAAACACTTGTAGCTTAAAATAGACCCCCCTCTTGGTTGGCTTCCCTTACCATGTTTGCCATAGGAGGGTGTCCTCTTCCCACGGGACGAAAGATAATGGACAAGTCATAATTACATAATTGTCAAAAGTTTGATTCACTTG